AAGGCTGCTTCAATGACGGTGGATTCCGCTCTGGTTTGGTGCTGCAAGAGCAAACAACGTTTTAACTCCCTGTTTGATCCCTTATGCTCTCAGCTGCCATTAGGTCCTCACAGGCAGAACTTCATATCCTTCAAGTTGACAGGATAATGGTATATAAGTAGCTGATGTGGTCATTTTTTGTTAAAGGGTAACTAAACACTAAACCAACTTTTTTTAATTAATGATCTGTAAGACTGGGGGCCCTATCTTGCACCCGGCGCAAATGACTTTGTACACTGACGCATGTATCATTCCTATTTTGCAGCCGCGCAAAGCGGGCTTTTCCCTCCACAGACGCACGTCGCTAAACTAGGGAATGAACTTGCGCTCCCTGGGCGGGTCGGCGCAAAAAGGAGGCGTGTTTCGGCGCAAACATTCCCTAGTGCTATTTTGCAGTTCCAGAAAACAATTCCGCCACTGACCAGAAAAAACCTAGTCTAAAGTCAGTGGCGCGTTGCGCGTTGTTCATAATGCTATTTTAAGAGCGCATGCTTGGCCATAATGTAGCGGGTGCACAATGCGCATACACTTTGATTCTCTCATCAACACAGATGCAGCAGTTTTTATTTTTGCAAATCATACATTATAACAAGGAAAAATATTAACACATGAGGGAAATCATTGTGGTGTCCATGAAGATGTAAAAAAAATGTAGTTTTTTCCCTCCCACGCCTGTTTAACCGACGCTGATTTGGGTGGGTTTCTCCCATCCCCATACAACGTCACTTCTCTGTCTTTCACTGCCCTGACAAGAACGTCGGTCTCCTCGGCTGTGAACCGCTCCTGGCGCGCGCCTGGTAAATCCACCGTTATAATAGCAATCCGCCATGCAACATGCACACCTGCTCTTAAAGGGTATGTTGGATGACGCTCTGATTGGTTTATTTCACGTTACGCCCAAACCACACCTATGAATAATGAAGCTATTTCAGACCAACCCCTTTTAAACTTGCGTCGGGCGCAAGAGTCATTTATCCCGCAGGTTAAGTAGCAACAGCGCCCAAGACCCGCCCACAAATTACTTGCGCTTCGCGCTTGATACTTGCGTTTCAGATCGTTAAAATAGGGCCCTGGGGCTTTATTAGTGCTGTCCATTGATTCGAGTAACTTTTTTGACATTTGGGTATAAAGTGTTTTAATTCTACAATATATGGTGTAAAAACGTCTGAGTGCTGCCCTCTTCAGGTTGAACGGTGGCTACTGCAGTTGAATTTTCCTATTGGATGTTTGCGGTAGTTCTTGACGGTAGCGGTGAGAGCTGACTTAAGCAGGTTTCAGCTCACCATGCCCTTGGTACGAGCTACCACGTCCATGGCAGTATAAAAACCATGTTGTTTCGTCAAAACCACTGTAGCGAGTCAGGAGTTGGAATTGCGAGTATTGAAAACGATCAGGATAGAGTGTCCGTTCATCCCCTCTATCTCCGCTGGGCTCCGCCCACTTTTCCAGCATTTTTTCAAATATTGCCAGTGGGTGGAGTCAGGCTCTGACCAGGGGTTTAGTTACCCTTTAAGAAAAGTATTTAGAATTTTTTTTTTCTTTTATGGCAGTGTTTTTAATAATTAGTGTTTGCTAAGGCAATGTTTTTTTAATATATATTTTTAGTTGACGATGACACTTCTGTATTATTATAGTATTTATTTTCTTGGCAGATTCGTTTTAAACCACAGCAATTTCATGAAAGTGTACATAATGTGTGGGTCACATGCAGTGCCTGAAAACAATAATTAAATTATCCTCAGAAAATAACTTTATTTTTTTTTTTTTTTTTTACCCTGATGTTTAAAATATTTATTATTGTAATTAATCAAATAAATAAGATCATTGATTTAAAATGACACTGTGGCCCTACGCTATTTTCAAGATAAGATCATTTATTAATGACTACTCTTGTACAGGCAGCTGATGATCATTGTGGGATACTTCTTTTTTTTCCGTGTACTTATTTGAGGAAGTTAAATAACCCTCAACCTTTGTTTTCAGCTGAAGTATTTGCTTCCAGGAATATGTCTAGAAAATCCCTGGAATGTTTTTTTTTTTTTTTTAGGGAAACAATTGTGAATATGATGAAGTACACACTACCGGTGTAAAAGCTTGGTTGTTGTTACTTGTCTTAGCACAACTGTTCATTTTCTGGACTTCAGTGTCCTATTCTTTGACTCCTCCCCCTCCCCCCATCATCTTCTGGCATTCCTGGAAAGCCTCTTTCCTGCTGATACCATCTCTTATGCATCCAGCTTCGCTGTATTTATTTATTTTTTTCATCAGGCACTGTAGAGCTGTGGCCCCATTTCCAGAATTGTGTACTTTGTCCAGCAGGCCTATCTGCACAATCATCTTCCCCTCAGGCCACAGCAACAGAACTGACAAGCAGATCCCTCCCCCAAAGCACATGAGCTCATGATGTGAAACAGGGGCCTGTTAATACCCGAGAAGCTCTCGTTTTCTAGGCATGGCTATTTTTATTGCACCAGAGAGAAAATCACCTCTCTAGCACCAATTTGAAATCATCAGTCTATAAACTCAATGAGCCACTAGGTTTCACTTTAACACTCAATAATATTCCCCCGGTTTCACAGACAAGGCTTAAGCTAGTCCCAGACAAAAACGCATGTTTGAGCTGTTTTAACTGAAAGCAACTTGCACTGACATATCTTAAAATATGTCATTGCCATTGTTTTGTCTCAAAATGCATACCAGTAATGTTTTTTTCTAAGGCACGTTTATAAAAGCTACTTAAAAATGCTACTTATAAAATAAAAGCTACTTATAAATGCCCTAATTGAACTAATGCCTAATACTGGCTTAATCTAAGTCATGTATGTGAAACCGGGCCATTATGTTCTAGTGATGGCTATTTTGACATAAAAAGGATCGAATCAAAATAATAAGAAACAAATCAGCATATTAGAAAGATTTCTGAAGGATCATTTGACACTGAAGACTGAAGTAATGATGCTGATAAAAATTCAGCTTTGCCATCAGGAATACATAAAACAATCTTACAGATCCCAATCAGTGGTGTATATTCACTTGAATCATTAGCCTTCACAATTATTCTTAATATGATAATTATAATCAACATTTCAAAATTAACAAAGCACTCCAGTAATATAATTGATGCCATTTGATTCAAGTGCAATTCCACTGGAGTGCAAGGTAATAAAATGGTTTAAAAAAAATATATATTAAATATAATATTATATAATATACAGTATATTCTCCTCTATTACTAGTATATACAATGTTGATTTGTGAACAGAAAAAAACATATATTTAACTTATCAAATAAGCAGAAAAATTTAGATATCTACCGGTACATAAATTTAAGGAGCATTTCAGCATGTGTGTTCCCTGTGAGGGTGATCCTACAAACAATATCTTAAAGGGGTCATATAATGCCATTTTTGTACAAGTTAATATGAATGTTTAGGGTCTAAATGAAAACTTTGTAATATACTTTTATTAAAAATTCTCATTAGTATTTTAAGAAAACACTAATTTTACCTGGTCAAAAACAGCTCTGTTTTCAGCATGCCGTTTCAGTGTATATGCCTTTAAATGATAATGAGTTTCGCTCACCCCGCCCCTCTGTTCTGCTGGCGTTTTGATAGCGTGTGGAGTGTTGCCTTGACAACAGGGTATATTTGAGGGTATATTTTGGAGTGAGAATGGCAGCGGGAGTCTCTGAGGACACATCTGTGCAACTGTATCAGTTTGAACCGGAGTCGGACCCGGAACAAGATGACGGCCGTAAAGAAGTTCGACAATTAAGGCTCGAACAGGACGTTTCTGAATGGTTGGTTAACGTAATGTCACTTTGATCTATTTTTGTATGTACTGGCAGGGTAGAGTAGTGAGATACGAACGCTATGTGTTTACTGATGTATACGTTAGTTCATTGACAGATTGACGTTACAACTAATGGTCATGAAAAACTTTTTTTCGCGATTTGCAAAGACAGAAGGTTAATAAAACTTTACACTTACTTCTTCTGGAGGTGCAGAGGGAACATAAATAGTTGCCACCGATTCTTTTTTCAGGAGCAGCTTCTTAGCAAAACCAGCTTTATACTGACCCTCGTTTATAAAGCAGTCTGGTGAGAAATGATTCGAACGCAAACATGAACGCATTGACGTTGCTCGTGGGGAATATTCTCTTCGAAAACAAAACTCAGCCACTGTGTCTTCAGCGGTTCGGAATAAGGAACATCAAAATGACTGTGTTCGTTATTACACCCAAGAACAGAACACCACAATCGCTTAGACGCCATTCTGCTCCAGCGTATCAACAATGACGGACTATGATGACAGCTCGCTCAGGGCGGGTCTGTGTTGAAACGCTGCTGTCAATCAACAATCGTGGGAGGGGCGTCCGTTTTATTTGACGTCACAAAAACGAACGGCTCAATTTGAGGCAGGGGAAAACATATGAGATTAAAACAAAAACACTGGATGGATTTTTATGATGGTGGTACAGACACTGCCAACACACATTTCAGTACAATCAACTTTTAAAAGTGCATGTACCATTATATGACCCCTTTAATCAAATCAAATCTGTATATTATTGTTATTTATTGTTTATGGTGTTGTTTATTTTTAGAGGCTGTCCTTTTAATTCTAGCAATTAGTTGGAGGGTTTTTTTTTTTTCTGATTTAATTTTTATGAAAATAATTTGTTGCCATTCCATAGAGGGTTAAACATTGATCAGTGTTAGCAGGGATGGTTGTGCCACATCGTCTGGGTCATGTCTGAACAGCTTTGTGGCTATGCTGTATGGCCTGGGGCTGCTGTTTCCTCCCAGTCCTGATTTTGAACAGTTGATTTAGGATGGGCGCTCCATCAGCCATCCGACAGCACTGTCAGTAGCTCATTAGCCTGATACTTAAAACAGTTTTATGTGTTTAGCAAAAAGAGGCAGTCAACCTGTGTTTCCTGTTTTCTGTATCCCCTTTCAGGACGCATCCATAGCGCATCGCTTCCACTTAATGAGAGAAAAACATCCAGAGAAGTTTAACAGCAGGTAAGAGAACATGCATGTTTAAATATGAGCATATGGAGAAAATGCTAATGGGAATTTCAATAAAAACTGCAGATGAATGACGCAAGTGAAAAGAAAGGAGAAAAAAAATGGTTACATCTGAGAGGGAACTAAAACCTTTACTGAGTTTTTTGTCCAAATCAGCCATGACAGACAATGAACAACACGACATTGGTTTCTTTTTCTGCTGAGTCATGCAGCATAGCCCCGCCCACACTGAAAACTCATTGGACCAAAATTTAGGCCTTTTTATTCTCTATATAAGTTAGGGTTCACTTTACTGCGTCATGAGCAGACTTCCACTCTTTTTGTATTTTAACATCTTTGACTTTGGTCTAAACCCACTATTTACACTTTTCTCTATCAATTGTGTGTCCTCAGATCAAACTAATTTCAAATGGAAGTTTTATTACTTGACCTTCAAAAAGAGACTTCCTTTTTAGCATTAAAAATACCTGATGAATCACCATTCGGTGTTATTCGCCTCTTCAATCTGCTTGTGTCTGTGTCAGATCTAGCACAATGTCGGCTGCATGACTGTTTCGATTGCTTTGCTAACTCAAGTAGCGTCCGTTTGAATGGAGTTTCTTAATTAAATGTTATGCAACGCATCTGCCTCAGCGGTGGAAGGTAAACCGGTAATGTATGCTTTAGAGTATCCATTTAAAGTGGTAGGGTAGAAAAGATACGGTCTAATTTGAACCCTATTATCTCCACTAAATTGTGTCAATTTAAGTAAGGAGGAGAGAGAAAGGGTTGAGATGAGCAGGTAGAATGGGTCATGATGACTTTAGTGAGGCAATTCAGCATGAGAAAGGACAGTAGTGAAATCATCATTGCTCTGAGATATTTGTAGTGTACAATAAGCCTTCGTCAGTCTTCCAGCAATAAAAGGATAACTGCTAAAACTGACCGTAGTACAGCACTTTGGGTCGGCTCTAACAGCTCCATAAAACATGTTTTATCTTAAGAAAAAGTCCCTCAGAGCCTCTGGTGCACTTTACAGTAGCCATTCCCAGCTCCCTTTGATGTGGATCTCTTTCAAGTCCGTTGTACTGTTCTCTATTCTGTTAGTTGATGCCTCTATTGAGAAATGTTGTAAAAAGCTCGCGTAGCTCTTGGCCGGGAAGCGCTCTGAAAGAATGAGGCTTTTTTCTTAAGGGTCAGTGGTCTAGCTTGGTAAGACTCCAGGCATTTTAGATTGCCATTCATTTTCTCACCAAAGCAACTCAATAATGCAGCACAAATATTGAGATTTATGCAACTGTTATTGGTTGCATAATCTGATGTGATTGGACAAACAATGTTCCAAGAGGGCTGATATTTAATATTAAGTAATATTGAAGGATTTTAAGGATATTAATTTGATCAAAAATGACAGTAAAGACATTTATAATGTTACAAAAGATTTCGATTTCAAATAAATGCTATTCTTTTTACACTTAAAAATAAATGTCAATTTTTCCACAAAAATATTAAACGGCACAACTGTTTTATGGGAGAATGGGTCCTGTATACAGAGGTTTGCTGTAAAACTCTGGATGCTGGGGTTTACGTAAAGATGGATGACACCCACTACTCAGTTTACTGTATTTGAGTGAGAACCTGTCACGGCAGCACTGCTTTTTAATGACTTTTTTAAAATAAGTCCCTAATGACTCATACACGATCTGAATTATGGGACCTGCCTGGCTGAATTAACTAGTTAATGTTTCAGTTGTTCATAATTCATACACCTAGATTTCCACAGCACATTAAAAATGGTGCAATGTGATGCGAAACTTCCCGTGGTTTCTCCACAATGCCGGGTTTCTAGTCTCCTTCATTGCAAGCTTCATTCAAATGTGGCTCATTTGCAGTTAAGTGATTGATGGACAGAGAGCCCAAAATAAGAATAATGGAATTATGTCCTCAGCCTATTTAAATCATTCAGTGTTTAATCCCAGAGTGAGTCACCCAGAAACATAATATAAAACACTGCCAAACCAAATGCTTCATCTGCTTTTCTTTGTTCTGCAGATTTAGAATAGCTAGCCAGTGCATCTGCCAATCTATGGCTTTCTAATGAGGGCTGTGCTCAGTGTTTTTAGGTTTTGAGAATGCGCTCTGAGATGCAACGTGTCACCAGATGGTACATAAATGATGGTTGCCATGGAGTTGCATGATTTATCCTCAATGAACCTGTTCATGTGACATGTTTCTGTCCACCTGTTATACTTCACTCCTATGGAAACAGTCTAGAGAACAGAACAGCATAATCATGCACTTGGTTAAAAGTCCAGTTTAAAATGAAAATGTTCAAATTCCTTTCAAATGTGTTTATATATAAGTGCATGTGTTAACATCCACATGCATTCCCACAGTGGCGTGGGATACGCAGGGGGGAATACGTGTGACTTCTCTCACCTCGGTGCTCAGTGTTCTGTGTCAGTAGTCGGTCTACAGGGAACCCGCAGCCCAGGTGTTAATGGCCGCGAATGCACAATGGACCCGAGCCTCTGTGTCCGCTCCTCCCAACGGGGCAGCCAGAGGAAGTTTTGGATTAAGAGGTGTCAAATTGCCCCATAGAAAAGAAAAAAGCCTTCTAAGATGCCTTTGTCTTTTTGATTAAAATAACAATGATGGCTCTGTGGACAGTCAGTTTCTCAAGAAAACAATGGGAAGAAGATGAGAGGTAGGGTTGAACACAGAGTGGGGGCACATGGGGGGATCTTGTTTCTCCTAATATCATGGTGGATTACATTCCCACACTTTATTTCTTTAGTTTCGTAATGTTTTCTTTTGAACACCAATTTCAAAGTATTTTATTGGCATAACTGTTTCGTATGCAATGTGGTACCGCTGCAAAACTACAGCTACAAAAAAAGGGTTCCTGTAATGGTGATAAAAATAGAAAATCTATAATAAATGAAAAACATTCAACATTAATAAGATTAAAGAACATTAAGAATATAGTAAATTGGTATTAGCCACGACTGTCAACAGATAATACTGCATAAGATAAAAAATAAATAATCTGAAATCCATTTGAGGCTATCTCATATTATTTTATTGTAGTAGCAATAATTGTCTTAGCCATTTTTTCCCACAAATAATATCCCTAAATAATATTATTATATATTCCAAAGCCTTGTCATCTCCAGCCATTAAAGCGCTACTGTAGTTATAATGGTACAATTTGCAAGAGAAACAGCTCAGTTGAATTATTAATGTCGATGAAGATTTGACCTTTTCTGAACGAATACTTCACAATAACTTTGTATGTGGCAGTCAGTGAGGGGTGGGGGTTGCATTAAAATGCATTTATTTGTGCCTCAAAGAGACATTTATTGATTATCAGCAACTAAGCATGCAAGTGGCCTACAGGGAAGTCAGTTAGGCTACTGTATTTTCACATTGATCTGTGAAAAGCATTGGGCTTTCATCATGTGCTGTTTAGGGTCATGTAGATGTCCCTTTTTACTCTGCAGCATGTTCTTTGCACCATAAAAATCAAATATGGCATTAAACATGCATGCCATTAACAGCTGTGCTCTGAAAGACATTTGTCTGCTATCACTCGTCATATGTCCTGCAGTAAAACATAAGTGTTTTTTTTCTTATTTTTTATGATTGTTTTTTGCAGACACATTACAAGTTCAGACAAAATAGTAAATCTGTTGTGTGTGACAGTTACTTTTGCAAGTAGCTGAAAGACACTTTTGGGTGAAAAACCCTGTAAGAATGTAAGTTTTGTAATTTTCTGTCAGCTTTCAAATATCAGGGTCTTTATAACAGAGGTTTTGATCATTTGTCATTGGTTGAAAGTTGCACATAAATCTTGTTACAGTAGAAATAGAGAAATTAAGATATTATTGAATGAATAAAGAGAAGACTTCTTTCGTGAATTTATCAACTTTATCTTCCCAGTTAAATTTGTTGATTAAGGTAATGAATGTCATGAGATGAAACTGTACTGTTACAACACCTCCTCCGATCATGTGACCGATAGAGGAAAAGGCCAAATATGGTCCTGACCCAAGCTGCCGTCTGTCTGCTCAGCATGTGAGCATGTGTTTCATAACCCCTAAGAAGGTGTCTAGGTTATGTCTATGTGAGTAAGGATGTTTGTGTACTGTGTGTGTGTGCGGTGGCCAATTCATTGTGTATTTTAGTGCAAGGACCGTATGCGTGCGTGGGTGTGCATGTGCGCAAATCCCTCCGCGTGCACATATGTGTGTGTGCCGGGGGTCAGCAGAAACCCAGCATGGCTGTGTTCTGGAACCTGTTGTTCCCTGCTGCTCCATGCCCGTGGTGGGGAGGGATAAATATATGCTTCCCTTCCTCACTGCCTCTGGCTGCTGCCAATAGAGCAGCCCAACAGAACGTACCCCCTGCCCCGACCCTCCTTCCCACACACACACACACACACACAAACACACTTGCTGTGGAGCAGGTCACAGACAGACTGTGGAGGAGCATGAGCTACCTGGAATCAGACTGTAGTCATAAAGCTAGCTGAAGATGTGCTGAACTAACTGCTGTAAAATGTTCATTTGACCCCACCTATAAAGATGCCACAACACAAAATAAATGGTATAATAATAATAATAATAATTAAAGCTGCAAGCAGCATTTAGCGGTGTTCAAGCAGTTAAGGCCTTTAAGGCCGTTAAGCACAAAAGCATCAAAAGACGTTAAGTTTTATGTAGCAAGCATGATTTACCATGATATACTACATTTCAGTGTGATTTTTCATGATTTACCATGTTCCAGTATGATTTACCATGAATCTAACATTATTTTTTATAGTTTACTTTGATGTACCATGTTATAGGATGATTTACCATGATATAGCACATTCTAGAATAATTTACCAGGATTCTAGCATGATTTACCTTTTGTACTATGATTTACCATGTTTCTGGCGTTATTTACCATGATTTACCACGTTGATACCAATTATGTGAAGCATCAGAACAATTGAAGTGATAAACTCTGAC